TCTGGGCACCTCCCCGGGGCCGGTTTTGTGAGGATGTCTCAAGCGAGGGCGCCGGTTTGGGATTCGTCACCGGATCCAGCGGATCCAGCGGATCCACCGGATCTGTCCGGAAACGGTGCCGGAGGCCGCTCTGGGCTCCTCTGGGCACCTCCCCCGGGCCGGTTTTGTGAGGATGTCTCAAGCGAGGGCGCCGGTTTGGGATTCGTCACCGATCCAGCGGATCCACCGGATCTGTCCGGAAACGGTGCTGGAGGCCGCTCTGGGCTCCTCTGGGCACCTCCCCCGGGGCCGGTTTTGTGAGGATGTCTCAAGCGAGGGCGCCGGTGTGGGATTCGTCGGCGGATCCACCAGATCCACCGGATCTGTCCGGAAACGTTGCCGGAGGCCGCTCTGGGCTCCTCTGGGCACCTCCCCCGGGGCCGGTTTTGTGAGGATGTCTCAAGCGAGGGCGCCGGTTTGGGATTCGTCGGCGGATCCACCGGATCCACCGGATCTGTCCGGAAACTGTGCCGGAGGCCGCTCTGGGCTCCTCTGGGCACCTCCCCCGGGGCCGGTTTTGTGAGGATGTCTCAAGCGAGGGCGCCGGTTTGGGATTCGTCGGCGGATCCACCGGATCCAGCGGATCTGTCCGGGAACGGTGCCGGAGGCCGCTCTGGGCTCCTCTGGGCACCTCCCCCTGGGCCGGTTTTGTGAGGATGTCTCAAGCGAGGGCGCCGGTTTGGGATTCGTCACCGGATCCAGCGGATCCAGCGGATCCAGCGGATCTGTCCGGAAACGGTGCCGGAGGCCGCTCTGGGCTCCTCTGGGCACCTCCCCCGGGGCCGGTTTTGTGAGGATGTCTCAAGCGAGGGCGCGGGTTTGGGATTCGTCACCGGATCCACCGGATCTGTCCGGAAACGGTGCCGGAGGCCGCTCTGGGCTCCTCTGGGCACCTCCCCCGGGCCGGTTTTGTGAGGATGTCTCAAGCGAGGGCGCCGGTTTGGGATTCGTCACCGGATCCACCGGATCTGTCCGGAAACGGTGCCGGAGGCCGCTCTGGGCTCCTCTGGGCACCTCCCCCGGGGCCGGTTGTGTGAGGATGTCTCAAGCGAGGGCGCCGGTTTGGGATTCGTCACCGGATCCACCGGATCTGTCCGGAAACGGTGCCGGAGGCCGCTCTGGGCTCCTCTGGGCACCTCCCACGGGGCCGCGCGTGCGCTGTACCTGCGTGGCGTTCAGGCACGCGCGTGATGCTGCTCGCTCCGCGTTCAACCAGTACGTCGCCAGTGCAACTTTGGACGATGGACAACCGATTGATGATGCGCGACCCCGGCCTTGAGTTTCTTTCCCGCGGGCCGCCCGCAGACCTGGCGGCGCGCCTGCGAGCGTTCAGCTCCCGCGCTGAAATGTGCGGGAAGGAGGCGGAGAAGCTAGCGGGCGAGCTACGCCTCGCTCGTTCCTTGCACTCTAAACAAGTTTTATCATGTGGAACTCTGCGACGACATGGCGCAGGCAGCGCTGCGGGTTTAGCTCGCGCTTGAAAAACGCGGCAGTCTTCTGTCTCCTCCCGCCACTTTCATCGTCGTCCTATTCCCCGCCTCGCCTTCTCCATGCATGCTGCTGCTTCCGCGATGGCCTTTCGCCTCCCCCGCCCTCCATTCCATCCCTGTCCTACCCCTCGTTCCCGTGCCCGTTCTTCTTCGATCCTGGGGCCTCAATCCTCGTTCTTTCGATCGTCGTCCTGTGAATCGTGCAGCGCATGCGCATCCCATGTAGCTTGCACAGCAAATCGCCGCGTCTACACTGTCGTTGCTCCTGCTAATGTTGGCATAGTCCTCTTGCCATTTGATGCGCGTGGGTTGGGTGCGTCGCAGGGTAATTATATATACATACATGTGTGTGTGTGCGTACATATATATATATATATATATATATATATATATATATTCATGTTTATATATAATAAATAAATTACCCTATGACGTACCCAACCCATTTGTATCGTGGGAACGAGGAGTTGGCTGAAACTTGCACGGACAATCAAATTGCAGGATCCGTTGTTTGATATGTAAGCTACTTGGGATACGCGCCAATGGAATGATGCGCAGGAGAACCATACAAGAACGAGGGGCGACAACTACAGGCTCGAAGAGGACATGGGGAGTCGGGAACGAAGAGCAGGAGAAAAACGTGCGGGAAACCCACTGTGCTGGGCCCCCCAGCCGCCCTCGAAAGTGGCGACAGTTTCACAGATCGCAGCCCCCCAGGGATGGCGAGGTCCCATTTGAATCCGCCGTGGGTGCCCACTGTGCTGGGCCCCCCAGCAGCCCTCGAAAGTGGCGACACTTCACAGATCGCAGCCGCCGTCCCCAGGGATGGCGAGGTCCATTTGAATCCGCCGTGGGTGCCCACTGTGCTGGGCCCCCCAGCAGGCCTCGAAAGTGGCGACAGTTTCACATATCGCAGCCCCCCAGGGATGGCGAGGTACCATTTGAATCCGCCGTGGGTGCCCACTGTGCTGGGCCCCCCAACAGGCCTCGAAAGTGGCGACAGTTTCACGTATCGCAGCCCCCCAGGGATGGCGAGGTACCATTTGAATCCGCCGTGGGTACCCACTGCGGTGGGCCCCAACAGCATCGAAAATTGCGACAGTTTTACAGATTCGCAGCCCCCCTCGCAGCCCAACATGGATGGCGAGGTCTCATTTGAATCCGCCGGCCGCGAGGCACGCTGTGCTGGGCCCCCCAGCAGCCTTCTGAAAGTGGCGACAGTTTCACAGATCGCAGCCCCCCCAGGGATTGGCGAGCGATCCATTTGAATCGCCGCGACGTGCACACTGTGCTGGGCCCCCCAGCAGCCTTCGAAAGTGGCGACAGTTTCACATATCGCAGCCCCCCAGGGATGGCGAGGTCCCACTTGAACCCGCCGCGAGTGCACACTGTGCTGGGCCCCCCAGCAGCCCTCGAAAGTGGCGACAGTTTCACATATCGCAGCCCCCCAGGGACGGCGAGGTCACATTTGAATCCGCCGCGAGTGCACAAAGTGCTGGGCCACCCAGCAGCCCTCAAAAGTGGCGACAGTTTCACAGATCGCAGCCCCCCAGGGATGGCGAGGTCCCATTTGAATCCGCCGCGAGTGCACACTGTGCTGGGCCCCCCAGCAGGCCTCGAAAGTGGCGACAATTTCACAGATCGCAGCCCCCCAGCTGGCACGCAGCGACGAGCGAGGCGAAAGGCAGGGTGGAAGAGAGGGACGGGGGGGGGCGGGAAGGCGCGAGCAGTGCTCTATTCAAAACGAGAACCCAACGCAGGAGGGTTGGGAATACATAGATAAATAAATAAATTGGGAGGGGGTCCTGGACCAGGGGGGGGGCCTCACTTTGCCCAGTGGCTGTGGTCACCCCCCCGCCGGAGACGCCAGGACGCTCCCAGGACCTTCTAAAATGGCTCCAGGACGCCTTCAGGACAGCCCAAGAGAGGTCCGAAGCGGCCCGGGAGCACTCCAAAACGGTTAAAAAGCTGCCAAAGCGTCCCAGCAGGTCTCCGACAGCACTCCCGGGAGGGGCCCAATAGGAAATTGTCACTGATTTTTAGTGGGTTTTGAAGGGTTTTGGCGTTCTCCCCAGTTCGGCTTCCAGACGCTCCAAGGCGGCCCAAGAGGCCCGAAAGATCGCCTCAAGACGAGCCAAGTGGGGCCCCCAAGAGACCACCGAGACAGCCCAAGAGGGCCCCAAGACGGCCCAGGAAGCTTCCAAGACGGCCCAAAAGAGCTCCCAGAACACTCCAAGAGGAACCCCAGATGGGGAACACGAATTGACATTTCGAGCCCTCGCCCAACAGAAGCTCCCAAGAGGCCCCCAGGAGTCCGCAAGAGGCCTCGAGAGGCCCCCAGGAAGCTCCAAGAGGCCTCCAAAAGGCGCCGAAAGGGCCCCGCAAGGCTTCCAGACGCTGGGGATAATGACAATGATGATTATGCAGGGCGGCCTCAGGCCCACAACCTAAATCCCCAATACTGCTCACGCGGCATGCAAGACGCTGCGGAGATATCCTCGAGTTCGGCGGGGGAGCTTCGGAGACGACGGTGACGAAAATGATGACGATGATGACGACTATTATGAAGTTGACGACGATGTGATGATGATGATGATGATGATGATGATGATGATGATGATGATGATGATGATGATGATGATGATGATGATGATGACGAGGAAGAAGATTATGATGATGATGTTGACAGTGGGAATGACGATGAGCTGCTGCTGATGATGATGATGTTGATGATGGTGATCGTGATGTGAGTGATGGTGGTGATGATGATGATGGTGGTGATGCTGACGATCATGATGACGATGACGGTGATGCCGTTGAGGATGGTGATGCTGACGATCATTATGATGATGCTGCTGATGGTCAGGATGCTAACGCCGATGCTGATAATAATGGTGGCGATGCTGTTTATGGTGCTTGTGATGCAGAAGTGGGCGGATGATGAAGATGATGACGATGATGATGACGATAACGATGACGACGATCACGACGACGACGACGATAATGATGACGATGGCGATGATGAGGATGATTATGCTGATAATTCAGGTGACGATATTGACGATGATGACGACGATGGCGATGATGACGATGGTGATGACGATGTTGCTGCTGATGGTGGTGATGGTGACGATTGTGATGATAGTGATGGTCATGGTGATGATGACGATGCCGCTGACGATGACGCCGGATATGATGGTGATGAGGATGGCGATGATGACGATGACGATTATCCTAGCTATAACTTGAGCGCGCGCGAAGCGCGCGCGATGGTTCTAGTATATATATTCCTCTTCGAATATCGCTATAGCGGAAAATCCCCGCTGACCCCCCCCTTGCATCAATTCGGCCTTGGGCGCTCCCACCGTCGTCAAATTCGAATTTCGATTTCGGGAGCCTCTCCCAGCCATCCCCGGACGGCCCCGCAAAGCCCCAAGGCGGCCCAAGACCTCTCCAGAACGGCTCCGTAGCCAATTATTTGGGCCCAAGGGTTCGTGTCAGTTCTCCATGGGGGCAATGAAATTATCCGCCGCGTTAGTGTTTTTGGGCTATGTGCGGATTGATATATGGGCAATGGGTGAATCAAGGTCTAACTCAACGGAAAGGGGTGCAAGGCTGTGGTTTCATGTGGGCCCTCACAAAACTGCTTCGACAACAATTCAGAAACAGCTTAAAGCTTGGTAGACCTATCTAACAAGTGACGGCTGGACGTGGGAAGACCCTGCGCAATTTGGACACTTACGCGGACACATGACTCAAATCATGAATGTTGCAGAGTGTTATAGGATCCCGTCCAAGTACAAGGACAACATAGAAACAATTTGTTCAGATTGGCTGCACTTTCTTGACCAGCTCAAAGGAACTTCAAAAAAGGTAGTGATGTCTAGTGAGCGTTTCGACCATATCAATGACACCAGCGTCGCACAGCTCGCGTTTGACTTAAGCCACATCAGTACCACCATCGTGATGGTGTACCGACCATTTTACGATTGGATCGCAAGCTGGTATCGGCAGCTCAAGGCTCACGGGCAGGTTGAATTGGCCTTCGCAGATTGGCTAAGCGTTTCAAACATGGAGTATTACGCGTACAATTTCTCGTTCACGACTTCTCTACATAGTCGCTACGCCGCTCATTTTTCTGATGTGAAGGTGCACGTGATGGGCCCCGATATGATGACCGATATTGCCTGCGATGACTTCAATGCTACGAACACGTGCGCGATGTCTAGGAAGGACAAAATGATGCAGCTAAACGTCAGAGCAAAATCTTCGCCAGGTGAATGCCTCAGTTCTCTGCAGCTGCAAACGCTGAGAACTATATCCATTGAGTTGCACCGGGCGGTGTACGGTATCTTTGCATCTTCAAGTTTTCCCGCGGCGGATTTCGATGCCAAGGCCAGGATTTGCTTCGGAAATCCCCTTTAGATCCCGTCAGCCAGCCGCTGCTGTCGTGCCCTCGGAGGAGGAGTCGAGTAAGAGGTCGCCTACATAAACCATGTGCCCCAAGTTTTTTTGTTCGCCACGCAATGTATAACCTTCGTATACCAACAAACGTTGAACGCACTTGCTCGTCGTTTCGGAAAACCTGGGAGTCCGATGTCCGATGCCGATGTCGTCGAAGAACCAAGAGGGCCCCAATACGGCCCAAGCCACCCAGGACGGCCCAAGAGGGTCCCGGGACGGCCCAGGAGGGCCGCCACACAGCCCAAAAGAGCTTCAAAAGGAGCCCCACGAGAGCCCCGAGAGGCCATACCCCTATCAGCCATATGAGGCCTCTCGCCCCCGCACGCCCTACGACCACTATGGTGCCTCATGGTGCCCCATGAGTCCTGTGAGGCCTGGGAGCCCTATGAGCCCTATGAGCCCCATGAGCCCTATGAGCCCGATGACCCCTATGAGCCCTATGAGCCCTATGAGCCATATGAGCCCTATGAGCCTTATGAGCCTATGAGCCCTATGAGCCCTGTGAGGCCTGGGAGCCCTATGAGATTTATGAGCCCCATGAACCCTATGAGCCCTATGACCCCTATGAGCCCTATGAGCCCTATGACCCCCATGAGCCCTATGAGCCTTATGAGCCCTATGAGCCCTATGAGCCCTATGAGCCCCATGATCCCCATGAGCCCTATGAGCCCCATGAGCCCTATGAGCCCACTAAGCCCCATGAGCCCTATGACCCCCATGAGCCCTCTGAGCCCTTAAGCCCTATGAGCCCTATGAGCCCTACGAATCCTCTGGGCCCCATGGGCCCCATGAGCCCTATGAGCCCTATGAGCTCTACGAGCTTTATGAGCCCTATGGGCTCTATGGGGCCTATGAACCCTATGAGCCCTATGAGCCCTTTGAGCCCTACGAGCCCATGAGCCGTATGAGCCCTATGAGCCCTATGAGCCTTATGAGCTCTGTGAGCCCTATGGGCCCCATGAGCCCCATGACCCCCACGAACCCTATTACTCCAATGAGCCCAATGAGCCTTGAGAGCCCTACGAGCCCATGAGCTCTTTGAGCTCCATGAGCCCAATGAGACTGATGAGCCATTTGAGGCCTATCAGCACTAGAAGCCCCATGACCTTTATGAGCTCACGAGCCCCAGGAGCCCCATGAACTCAATGAGCCGAGCCCCATACCCCCCCGACCCTCCATGACACCATATGAGCACGATGACCTCTATGAGGCCTATGCGCCCTATGAGCCCTAGAGCCCCCTCAGCACTAGGAGCCGTGAAGCCCTGCGAGACCCATGAGACCCCTCTCTGAGCCCTACGCGCCCAGTGAGCCGTATACGGCCTATGGGCCCTATGAGCCCCATGGCCCCGACTTGCCCCTTCACCCCAATCGGCCCCATGAACCCTACGAGGCCTACGCGCTCTGTTAGCGATATGGGCCCTATGGCCCCCTGGAGCATTGCGAGCTCCATGAGCCCAATGGCCCCCAAGAGCTGATGACTCCAGGGAGCCCCAGGATCCTTATAAGCACCACCTATGACCCCCATGACCTTTGTAAAAGGCACTCAGCATTATGAGCCCCGTGCCCGATGTGCACAAACAGTCCCATGACCCCAACGAACCCCTTGAGCCCCGTGAACCCTGTGAGTCTCATATGACCCCCTGGAGCCGCATCGGCAGCATTACCCCTCGCATACAATGGGGGCTCCGAGCCCTTGGGCCCCATGACGGCAGAGACCCCTTCTGAGCTCTTTGAGCCGCAATATTCCATGGGTCCTATCAGCCCTGTTTGCTCCATGGTCTCCATGGCCAGAACACACCGCGGCTGTGACGACAACCGATCTCATCGCGCCTCCCTGGCGCCATGCGACCAAGATTTTAAAGGCGAAGTGCAGCGAGCCCGTAAAATCTTGTGTGTGTATATATATATATATATGTATACATATATATATATATATATATATATATATATATACATCACGGCGCACCGGGTCCAGGCGCCCGGGGCCGGCGCCGCTACCACAAATGTGGGCTCTGGGGCCCTCGGGGAGCCCTGGGGCCTCACAGAAGACCGCCAGAAGGCGCCAAGGAGGCCCCCGGGACGCCCGAAGGTCGCTCCCGGACGCCCAACATGGCCTCCAAGGCGGCTTCAGAAGCCCCCAAGACACCCCAAACGACCTCCAATAGGGCCCCAAAGAGAGCCTCAAGGGGCCAAAATATCCCCATTCCCGGGGTAAAACGTATATTTTCAACATATTGTTTGTTTTCGCTGTCGGTCCGGCTGAGGACGCGCCCCAGAGGGCCCCAATACAGCCCCAGGGAGCTCCAGGACGGCCCACGAAGGGCCCAAGACGGCCCAAGAGAGTCCCCAAGACGGGCCCGAGAGGGCCCCAGAGGAGGAAAGCCACCATCGAATTCCAAGCTTTCGACCCCAAGTGGCTCCAGGAGGCGCCGAGAAGCCCCCAAGAAGCGCCCGGAAGGCTCCCCAAAGCACCCCAAGACGCTCCAAGAGGCACCCCAAGAGAGGTCCAAGAAACAAAAGTCGTCCCATTCCTGTGGGAAAACGTATCTTTGTCGTATGTTCGCCTGTTGGGCTGTCATCGCGTCCAAGACGGCCCAAGGGGTTCCCACGACGGCCTAGGAGGCCCCCAAAAGAGCTCCAAGGCGGGCCACGAGAAGCCCAGGACGGTCCACTGGGCCCCCAAGACGGCCCAAGAGAGCCCCAACACGCGCCCGAGAGGAGTCCCAGAGAAAGAAAGCCACTCTCGAATTCCGAGCTTTCGGCCCCAAGAGATCCCAGGAGGCGCCGATGCGCCCCCAGAGGCCCCAAGCAGGCCCCCCAAAGCACCCCAAGATGCTCCAAGAGGCACCCCAAGAGAGCCCCAAGAAACTGAAATCCGTCCATTCCTATGGGGAAACGTATATGTTTCGCATGCTCGCCTCTTGGCCTGTCACCGCGTCCAAGACGGCCCAAGCGGCCCCCCAAAAAGGCCTAGGAGGCCCTTAAGAAATCTCCAAGACGGCCCAGGAGGAACGCAGGACGGCCCAATGGGCCCCCAAGACGGCCCAAGAGAAGCCCAAGAAGCGCCCGAGAGGGGTCCCTGAAGAAGACAGCCACTTTTCTAAAGAAGGGAATTCCCAGAATTCCCTTCTTTAGAAACGAGGGACTCCTACTCGGGGGTCCCACACATCCCCTGACATCTGGCCGGTACCGCGCCTCCCAGCTTCCCAGGGGGAGACCCCAAGACGCCGAAGGACAGCCCATGACGACCCCAAGGAGCCCTCATAACGTAAAGAACAGCCCAACACGCTCCCGCGCAGCCCGAGACACCCTTCCGACGGCTCTTCAGGCCTACAGCAGGCCTCCAGAAGCCCCGGGGTGTCTGGAAGATCCCACACCCCTGAGGGGCCCGGCTAACAAAACCCGCAAGGCACAAACAACAAACAGCGCAGAACAGCGGCGAGGAACTGGAAAACATGGGAATCCCTCATGTTTGTTTTGTTTTCCAAGCTTGGCCCCCGGTCTACTCTTGCACAACAGACCAAAATTACCATTTCCTCACCTTCCAAAAACTACTCCGACGGAAGGACCCCACATGAGAATCCTCTGGGCGAATCTGGAAAAAGCCCTCACCGTCGTCCTCGTGGTTGGTGAGGCGTCCTGGCTGTCTCTTCTGCGTATATTTCTTCTCGCCCTGGCGCGGGCCCTCCCCCCGCTCCCTACGTTGCCCCCGACCTCGTCATCATCATCATCATCATCATCATCATCATCATCATCATCATCATCATCATCATCATCATCATCATCATCATCATCGTCATCATAATCATCATCATCATAAGCATCATCATCATCAGCATCATTCATCAGCGGCAGCATCTAGCATCAGCACATCGCATCAGCATCAGCATCAGCATCAGCATCGCATCAGACATCAGCATCATCAGCAGCAGCAGCATCATCAGCTCCTCATCATCATCATCATCGGTGGCGTCCCAGTGGATACTGCCGAACACGCCCAGACGAAACGCACAGGGTGGCTGTCCCAGTGGATACGTGCGGGGGCACGACCCAGAAGAAGCGCAAAAGGGTGCGTCCCAATGGACACGTGCCGGGAATAGCGCTCTGGGAACACGACGAACACAAAGTGGCCTACAGTTGGCTCCGGACATTCAGAATGTGGCCCGGGAGTGGTGCTCTGGGAGCACGAAAAACACGAAGTGGCCTACAGTTGGCTCCGGGCATTCACAATGTGGCCAGGGAATGGTGTTCTGGGAGCACGAAGAACACGAAGTGGCCTACAATTGACTCCAGGCGTTCAACATGTGGCCTGGGAATGGCGTTCTGGTAGCGCGAGAGCCCCAAATAAGCAACCACAGGAATTGGATGACCCGCTCGGCACCTACGCGTATTAGTATTAAGTTTTATTTTACAAAGAGCACATTAGTAATAGATTACTCATTTACACATCCAAATTAGTAAGATTAGTTTAACCACTTCAATCGGATTAGTAACATGATCCGCGGGCCCCATAGGGAGGGGGCTCCCGCTTGATACTTCCTCGCAATTCACTCACAGATGTGGCCTGGGAATGGCGTTCTGGCAGCGCGAGAGCCCAAAAGTGGCGACAGTTACAGGAATTGGATGACCCGCTCGGAGTAGTAGCATGATCCGCGGGCCCCATAGGGAGGGGGCTCCCGCTTGAGACTTTCTCGGATTAGTAGCCTGATCCGCGGGCCCCATAGGGAGGGGGCTCCCGCTTGAGACTTCCTCGCAATTCACTCACAGACGAGGCCCAAGGCGAGTGAGTGAGTGAGTGAGTGAGTGAGTGAGTGATCGACTGACTGGTGATGATAATCATCATCACACTCTCTCACGCGCACACTCATCATCATCATATGTGAGTTCATGAGCGTGTGAGTGAGTGAGTGCTGATGAGTCAGTGAGTGAGTGAGTGAGTGAGTGAGTGAGTGAGTGAGTGAGTGAGTGAGTGAGTGAGTGAGTGAGTGAGTGAGTGAGCTAGTGAGTGAGTGAGTGAGTGAGCTAGTGAGTGAGTGAGTGAGCGCACGAAGACAGAAGAGGAGAGGGGGTGAGGTGAGGAGGTTCCTGCGCGGGGTGTCCAGAG